GGCAGTGAAATTGTAGAGGAGAAGGTGAATGTCTCTGTGATAACTGAGAATTTAACCTGTATGGAACGACAGCCTTTTGCTGGCTGAACTTTGGGATTGGTGGAGGCAGTGTGGAATCTGTGCCTGTTCCCATCACAGATTCCTGTGAGCCTGTGGACACTGCTGAATCATCAGTGTTGGGTTGGAAGGGACTTAAACATCAGCGAGTTCCAACCCTGTGCCATGGGCAGGGACACCTTCCACCAGCCCAGGTTGCTCCAAGCTGCATCCAGCCTGGCCTGGAACACTCCCAGGGATGGGACATCCCTTCAGACTAACCTCTTGCTGTTCCCAGTTCATCAGTACAGTGTTCCCACTGAAGTGGTAGCCACAGGCTATCTGGATTTTCCTGACCCTTCTAGTAGAGAAATACACAGCCTGACTGACTTGGCCATAGCAGTGTGGGTGGTTTGGGTTGGGTTTGCATGTTTGTTTAGGTGTTTTTTGATACGTTTGGGTTGTTTGGTGTAGCTGCAGTTTTACTGGCAAAGCTGCACCAGTTTGTTGGAGGTGTGCTGGTTTCAGCATTGCAGGGCATGTGTGTTAGAGGTGCCTTAAATGAATTTCTGCAGTTTTAGGGTGTGGATGGTTGGATACTTTATGCATTAAGTACAGGCAGAGTTCACAGAGAATCACTGAGGTTGGGGAGGACCTCTGAGGTCCTCAAGTCCAACCCCTGACCTAACACCACATTGTCAACTAGACCATGGCACTGAGTGCCACATCCAGTGTCTCCTTAACCAAGCTCCTTTTCCATGCTCTGTATCAGATCTGATGCCTTCATTTATCCGTCACGGTCCGACCATTCCAAGACGAACTGATATCTGCCCTCCTGACTCCACTTCTCCTTCCTACACCCCTGGTGGAGATGGAATTGTATCCAGGAACCAGAGCTTCCTCCGGACTCCGGTGCAGAGACCTCCACACGAAATCCTGAGACGGGAGAGCAACAGACTGTCTGCACCTTCCTACCTGGCCAGGAGTTTGGCTGATGTCCCAAGGGAATATGGCTCTTCCTCCCAGTCCTTCCTGACAGAGGGCAATTCCGGGCTGGAAAATGGAGACACCAGTGCCAGGTGTTACTACTACGATCACTTCTACGACGCCCAGCGGAGGCGTCAGGCGAGCGACCGCGCGCACGAGGACTACAGGTATTACGAGCACAGCAGTGATCTCTTCCAGAGGATGTCCCAGAATCATGGGAGGCACACTTCAGGTAAGGATTCAGTCCTGCTTTGGTGAAAAATAGAGATTTGAGAAGAGTTTGTGTTTGATGCTGCTGAGCTTGCGTGTGGAATTAGAACAGTTGTCGTTAAACGCGTCCAGGTAACATTGGGAGTGTGGATCCATTGGGATATTGCAGGGAGGAGAGGCACGAGGGGAGGAATTCATACCCCAGTCCATCAGTCTGGATGATCCAGGTTTTTAGGATCTCTGTAGGACAGAGCTGCTTTTTCATGATGTTTCTGTGGTGTGAGGAATTAGAATGAAGAGTTTATGCTCTTGTATCCAGGAAGGAAAAATGTACTTAAACCAGGATTGATATATTAAGGAAATGGGGTAAGGTGGGGCAAGATTTGGGGGGGCCTCAGCACAAAATTGCTGTCTAGAAGGAATTATACTTATTAGGGAACATCTGCTGTTTTTGTGATGTAGAGAATACCAACAGCTCTAAATTATGACATTGCATCATTATTACTGTTGTTATTAATTGCTGTTGTTATTATTGGTGTTACTGTCGTTATCATAATTATATTTTAGCTATCTTTTTATTTCATTGTTTTAATTCGACCTCAATAATGAAAATCATGTCCTATGAATAGTCAAAGGGAGCAATGACTCCTCTGTGTAATTAGCAAATTGGCACCTAGTTAGAGCTGAAATTCCTAGTCCTTGGCTCCTTTCTTTTAGCTGCTCATATGGTTTGTCAATATGCCTGTTCTGCCCCTCAATTCTGCTGGGACTTGTCCTTGTTTTCTGAACAGCATGAGAGAGAAGAATCCATTCAATATTCCTCTCCTGAAATATGTGATTCTGTATTTGATCCTACAAAAACTATGTCCCAGGAGGAGTTTGAAACAGCTGTTTCAAGCCTGTCAATGATGTACCTTCAGTGGGAAATACTTCCTCACTTGTAATCTGTAAAGGAAATAGTAATTAGTCTCTAGTGAGGTAACTCTCCTGGCCAGAAACATCAATCTGCCAGGAAGGTCATCAACATTTAATGCTGCTGAGCTTGTGTGTAGAGTTAGAACAGTTGTCATTAAACATTTACCTGGTCCAGGTGACATCTGGGAGTGTGTGCTGGGATATTGGAAGGAGAGGCAGGAGGGGAGGAATTCGTACCCCAGTCCATCAGTTTAACCTTCAAATTAGCAGTGTCTGCTGAGGAGACTTAGAAAATGGAGCCAAAAGTGTTTCCTTATTCTTTCTTTTCATTCATCTCCACATGGAATATGAACTCTTCAATTCCTCTTTCAGTTTCAGGAAGAATATTGACTCATGTCTTTCATTTTGTACACCTTACCAACAGTTGTTGCTTTTCCTCAAGAATTGTGTCCCAAAAGCTTAGATTTTCTTTCATCTCACCACTAAGCTACTTTTTATTTGAGTCATCCATTGCCTTCAGTGTTTTCCTTGAGCTCCAGTGATTTGTCTTTAAGTTCTGATTCCTGCATTTCCAGAAAAACCAAGACAGACCTTTTGCTTTCATTGTCTTTGTCTAAATCACATTTTCCTTACAGATCTCCATTGTTGTTTCTGTTTCAACTGATCAAAGTTCATGGAGATAATGGGGGTCAAAATCGCTTAATGCCTACAGCTTCAAATTAAAAGCCTGTTAATTAGCCAGAGCCTGGGAGTGCTGCCTCCTCCCCTTTTCCTCCTCTCCCTCCAGAGTTCCCCTTGGTCAGTTCTGGAATGTTTTGGGTTGATTGCTAAGGAAATACTCCCTGAGGAGCACAAGGTGCAGTTGCTGGTGGTGATACCTCAGATGATTTTCAGGAAGGAGTGGTCTGGAAGTGAAGAGGTGCCTGTGGATTTTGGCTTTCATTCCAAATCAAGATTCTCCTCTTTGGAGAGAGGCTGAAAACATCTTCAAAGTATTGAGTATCTTACTCTTCAAGAAAGTCCTGTGGTTTTCCAGCAGTTGATGTTGACATTGCTGTGTTCTCCCATAGGCATTTCTCCTTGAGGTCATGTTTTCTCTCCCATGCTTCACTTCTACCGTGTCCTCCTTTCCTTTATTTCCATTAAATTTGGGTGTAATTACCAATCTAGTGCTGCAGATTTTTCTGGGCAATGTTTTCAGTTGAGGTATCTCCTAATTTTGTATGTTTAGCTTCCTCTGTGGCATTTTTTTATCTATTTTTTCTTTTGGTGTCCTTTTCAAACTGAATTCTGAGAACCTTTACCTGTCTTTCCTCGCCATCTCTTTCCTCTCTTCTAGGTTAAAGTTTTGGGGAGGTCTGTGGTTGAAGTTATACTCTGCAGTGTAGCTTGGAACTAACTTGTAACCAAGACCTCAGAGTTATTTGTGCCTGGTAAGCTGAAATATTCTTCTGTGTCTGTGAAAATTGCTGAGATTGAAATCGTAGTGTCAAGGCACTTTCTCAGGGTGGATTGTAAAGGAGTTGACTGAGGGGGGAAAAAAACCCAGTGAACAGAGAATCCAGTGTTAAATAGGTGAAAATGTGGTCAAAATCAGTTAATCTTGTGGACTGCACCCCTTGGAAACTGCAGACTGCTGCTCATGTTTAATATAAGAGCAAAACACACACAAATTATGATATGAGACCTATTTAGACCTCAGTACTTTTCTGTTTGTGCACACTTCTCTCTCAGTTGTAAACAGTTCCTGCCCTGTTCTTCTTATGCGCTGATTTTGCAGTAATTTCGCAGTAATTCTTGCAGCTCTCAGAGTGTTTCCTGTCATTTCCTAGCTGTGAATTTCTGCCTGCCTGGCACGCCTCATTCCCTCTGACAAAAGAGGTACTTTTGCTCAGGAAGTTCCTTCAGAAGCTCTGGAATGGATTGGGGAGGCCTAGGACCCACAGACCTAGGAGGGTAGTTACTGCAACTCCCTTTTGCTGTTTTATTACTGCTTACTGCCTTCAAATTAAACAGTTTGTTCTTCTTCTCTTCCTGTTCATCCTGCTGCGATGAGGGGAAGGGAGAGGGTTTTGGCATCCTGAAAAAAAGGCTCTCAAGACAATTGGGCTGATTAAAGACAAATAATGTGTTGCTCAATGTGTTCCTCCACGCTGAGATTTGGTTGGAGCCAATGTGGGGAGTTGATGGGCTCTGAGCCCTCTCTGCCTACATCAGCTCTTCCTAACTTAGAGTGGTTTTCCTCTTTTCCCTTTGTGCTGGTGATAGGATTTTTGTCCTTCCTACCCTGCAGACTGAAGAACTGCCCTTTGCTGGCCTGGAAATGTTTGCTCCTAAGGACTTTGAGTTCTTTCCAGGCTGAGTTCCCTTAGAGCAAACCCCTTCCCTAGGCTGGGAAAGCTTTGACATATGTCCCTTCCAGTTCTCTTTGTTCCACCCTGACAGAACACACCAAACACAACTTCCTTGACTGAAGAAGACACTACAGGCTTTTCCCATTTGTGACTTGATCAGCTTAAAACACATTTTGAAGAGAAGGAATTCTTTGCACTGATAAAATGCACTGGAATGTGGTGCCCAGTGTGAAATAATTAATTCAAGGCCTTCAGCTGAAGATTCTGTATTTTAGAAATGGAAGGAAATAGCAAAGCCTCAAATAATTTCAGTATTGATGTTCCTTAAAAGCAGCAGCTTTTCAAAACCAAGAAATCCCCATGATATGCCCCATGTACACACCATTATGTGATAAATCATGTGCTAATAATCCATTATAAGGAGAGCTAGGGAATGAGGCTGGAAAAGCTCTAAAGAGAAAACCTGGGAAGGATTTACAGCTTCAGAAAATCAAATTACTTTCTGACCATCACTGAGATTTGGCGGTGTCACTCTGGGGGATTTATAAAGGGCAGTGCTCATCCCTGAGCAGAGGAACAGAGATATTTTTAATGTGTGGAAAAAGCAGATAATTTAAGGAATTCTGTTCCTTGGGAGAGCAGGAAGAACGAGGATTTCTATCTCCTTATGGATAAAACAGTGTGTGAGCCAGAAACCCTGAGAGCTGCAGTGACCTGGTTCAACTAGTCTGGTTGTGCTTATCCTGTGGTGGAGATCATGTCCTCCATCCATAAAAAAAAATCCCAGGTTTTACACCAGATGTTTGAAGAAAAATAGTTCAAGTTGTATGTTTATACATAAATCTGGCACCAGGGAATATCCTTGGGGTGTGCAATAAAATCCTATGTGGAGCTTTGGGCTGGTAGGAAAATGGTTTATGGCTAAGACTTTACCTGGAATTTCAAGCCAGTAGTGTCATTCTTGGGAATATGCCACAAAAAAAGCAGTGTTCACACTCCATGGCTTAGAGATGTCTTGGAACTTTTTTCTTGGGCTTATACTTTGGAAAAGATCTCATGGGAATTTACCCCTAGTGTTGTTCAGTCTGATTATTGATACTTACATGTGTATATGTATATAAAGTCAATTTTCCTCTTCTCTTCTTGTCCAAATCACAGCAGGAACTTTTTCTCTTACCTGTGTATCCACTTTCCCTCCAAGGAGCCTCCTGAGGTTTATCAGGAAAACCAACATCCAATTTCTTTTGATGTCTAATAACTCCAATTCTAGAAGCAAATCTCAAACTGGACTAACAGTTGAATTTGATGCTGCAGTGAGTTGATGGCTGTAAGACACTGAACATCAGCATCCAAAAACGTAGAGCCCAGAGTATTTCACTGTGATCTGTGATTCTAAGGGGAAAAATGATAGTCTGCATCCTGAAGTAAATAATTGGCCTTGGAATGCTGTGCACAACTGGTAACTGCTACAGCTGTAGGAGTTTATTTTCCTGGTATTGCTCTGCTGCTTCGTAAGTGGAAATGAAACAAAACTGAGCTGCCATTGGGAGAATCCATGTGGCAGGAGAACTCCTGGTGCAGGGCATAGCACCTCTTCTGAGTGCTGAACAGCACTAACCTTTACCCCAAGGAATAACCCAAAAATATCTGTATTTGCTGCTGGAATTGGGTTAGGATTAAGAAGGAACTGTAAGGGAAATACAACATGTGCTGGTTGAACAGTAAACAGAAAGATATGTTTATGCCTTTAGGAAAGTTCTTTCCCCCCAGTCAAGTCTGTGTGTTCAGATCTGGCAGTGTTAATAGTCCCTATTTATATGCACATGGAATTACAAGCAGTTAATTGGAGAAAATCCTGAATCTGTTTATCCAAAGCTCAGGATTTCCAAGAGGCTGAAATGTTTGTGTTCTGTCAGTGGAATGAAAACAAACCCAGTGACATAACTAGTGGGGGACTGAAATAGCTTCCCTGCCCCAGTGCTGCCAAAGGTCAGGAAAAGCCTCCAGGATGTTTCTGTTCTCTGGAAGTAAAGGTCTGTCTTACTCAATCCCAAGTAGACATGGACACAGCCTTCAGCTTCCCTTAATGAAGCTGACAAGTAGGTAAGTACTGAAACAAGAGGAAATACTTTCAGGCCAAACAGTTAGAACACAACAAGGCTGGAAAAGAGTGGTGGATGAGCACAGAGTTCTAAAGGACAGTACTCAGGAGGACCTTTGTGAGGGGGTTTTAATCGGATTGGGATTTATCCAATTGCTTTGGAGCCTTGCTGGGAGTTTCTTGTTGCTGATTTGCTATATTTGATTACAAAATCCAGAGAAACTCTGCCTTTCCCTTCCCTGCTCCAAAATAGTCACACAAAACTGATATTTCTGAGCAAACAGGAGGAAGGGGATATGTTCCTGTCAGTAAACCTGGAGGGGGTGATGGAGATGCTTCTGAAAAAGTGGGAACAGTGGCTCCCAAATCCTTCTGGTTGTGAAATACTAACACACCAGAGATGAATTCTGTGGTTGAGCCGACGCATTTGGCTGTGGGAAAGATAATTGGAACTCTTTAAAGCCAGAGGCTCTTTACTGTGCGAGCTGAAGGCAACTACTAACAGGGATTTTAAAGCACATCCAGGAGGTAGTGGATTCCCAGGAATGCAAAGAGATGTGCCAAATTTTTGGTTACTCCCTGAGTTTTTGTGATTGGGGATTTTTGGGTGGTTTTAATTAGTTTTCTGTAATTTCTCTTACGGCTTTTATTTCAACTAGTTTCTTCCTCAGGATCTGTAGTACAGAGATCCTGAATGGATCCAGCTTTTCCCTGGTTACTGCTGCCATTTTTGGCCCTAATTCCACCCTTTCCAGGGATAATACTCAGTGCAGGGTAGTGTTAGCCTCCCTTGCCCCTCCTCCTGTTTTACCTCATCCTGTTGCTGTTTGACTGGTTCATCTGAAAAGCTTTGTTGGTGTTCAGGGATTTTTCTAGCCAGATATGTAATTCCTGGCTGTAACTGGATAAAGAAAGAGCTGTAGGGTTTTTTTGCAGATAAATGATGTGTAAACATTGCATTAAGAGGAATTTGTGGAAAGCTTTAACGAAACACCAATCTCCCTGTTTTTCAGGCATTGGGAGAGTTGCTGCTACATCCCTAGGAAACTTAACAAATCACAGTTGTGAGGATTTACCTCTCCCTCCTGGCTGGACAGTGGACTGGACTATGCGAGGAAGGAAGTACTACATAGACCACAACACTAACACAACTCACTGGAGTCATCCCCTGGAGAGGGAAGGGCTCCCCCCGGGCTGGGAGCGAGTGGAGTCCGTGGAATTTGGGGTGTACTACGTGGATCACATCAATAAGAGAGCTCAGTACAAACATCCCTGTGCTCCTAGGTAAGGCAGCTCAGGTGTGGAACGAGGGTGTTGCTCCTCAGTCACTCAGAGCAGCTCTTCAGCTGTGAGGAAAACAGCAAAGCTGCTGGGAAGGGAATTGAGTTGTAGACTGGCAAGAAGCTTGATGAGGTGTTCCTGGAGACTCCCTGAGCATCTGAAATGGGAACTAAGTCTTGTCTAGAGTGGAAATTGGTGTTTAGCTACTCAGAATTTCAAGGTAAAAGGAAGTTATTGTGCACCAAAGGGTAAAATAAAGTTGTTATACACCAAAGGGAAAGTTACAATACACCAAAGGAAAAATAAAATTACTAAGCATCAAAGGGAAAAAAAGTTATTATACACCAAAGGTAAAAGAGTTGTTAGATCTGATGTGTATTCACTTTAACTTCTTCCACTGCATTTATTTTGCTGTTACCCAGGAAGATGAAGCTTATTCATATGTGGCACAAAAGATAAGTATATGATCTCTATATATAGATCTATGAGAATGTCTTTGTGGAGTAACTCTTAGCTGTTGCCTCAGTGCATTAGTTCTGACATACTAAACAGTGAATTATTTGGCTGAATCAATACTTTTTAATGCTTTAAAAGCAAATCTGCTGCTGTGCTGTGCAGGTACCAGGCCCCAGGTGAGTGGGTCTGAGGTGAATTTCACACTGATTGCAGTGAAATGCCAAGTTGCTCAGTCCAGGCCTGCTGAAGCAACACGCCCCGTGTGGTTACATCATCAGCCATTCCTCGTGCTAATGTGTGTGCAGTGCTGCCAGCTCAGTGCTGTTGGAGTGTCTGGGCCCTGCTGGAGCTCACAGCCTGTCCCTGTGTCCGTTGCAGCGTTCCCCGTTACGATCAGCCTCCCCCTGTGTCCTACCAGCCACAGCAAGAGAGGAGCCAACCCCTGCTGGTCCCTGCCAACCCCTACCACACTGCTGAGATCCCTGACTGGCTTCAGGTCTACGCCAGAGCTCCTGTCAAGTGAGAGTTTTGCTTTTTTTATTTCTGCATTTCGCACTTAAAAGGAAAACAAATGGGTTTCCTTGGCTGAAAGTGGAGCTCGTGCTGCTCTCTGGTTTTGAGCTGTACCAAGTGTTTGTCATGTTACTTTGCTTTCTTAAACCATCACCGTACTTGGAGCTCACATGTGCCACAGAATGCTGTCAGAGTTGAGATACCTTTCAGGGTATTTCTGAGAACAGTACCAGGTGCCTAGAAAATATGTGAAACATTGTAGGTGTAACTTCTTCCTGTCTGTCTTACTCATTTCTGAAAAACACCTATATTCTTTAAGTGCTTTAAGAACCTGAGTCATAAAATCATCACTGGCTGGTCTGAACTTTTAAGTTCATCCAGTCCCACCCCCTGCCATGGGCAGGGACACCTTCCACTAGCCCAGGTTGCTCCAAGCCCCATCCAACCTGACCTGGAACACTCCCAGGGATGGGGCAGTCACTGCTTCTCTGGGCAACCTGTGCCAGAGCCTCAGCACCCTCACAGCCAGCAATTCCTTCCCGCTATGCCACCTATCCCTGCCCTCTGGCAGTAGGAAGCCTTTCCCTGTGTCCTGTCCCTCCATGCCACAGTCCCTCTGCAGCTCTCTTGGAGCCCCTTTAGGCTCTGAGAGGCTGAATACAGACTGACATCTATAGTTCTGTCCAAGAAATTTAATTATAAACTAAGTGGTAATAAAAAGTCCTTTTGTTAAAGAAACTGCAGCAGGAGCAAGGAATCTCCTCCAAGGAAAGACTGGAGTCAGCATACTGAACCAGATTACATTTTCTCTTGGGAACAGCTCTGCAGAACAGTAACACTAAATAGAAAAGCACTAAAAAATCCAGAAAAGGTTTCATAATTATGAAATCCTGTGTTTTTCATAAGGAGAATGTGAAGAGACTCAACAAGCAGGTCAGTCTGTACTGCAAATTCAGGCTGTGTGTGATGTTCAGTGACTTGCACTGAAAAAAAATCCTCTTTTTTTTTGTCTGCTTCTAGTAACTACAGCCTGAATGGGTTGTATTCCTCCCTGTGACTGCTGGGCTTGCCCATAAATGTTTACATTGCCCTAGGATCCACCAGGGCACACTGAGTTCCTGCAGCCTGTGGCAGGATTTGTTTCCTAGAAATACCTTCAGGGTTAGTTTTTGTTTCCACAAGTTTCTCTAAAGGATAAGAATTCTGACCACTGGAAAAGCCTAATGGAGAGTTTAGTAGGTATTAGCCAAAATTCTTCCTTATTTTTAGGAAGAAGTTCTTGGCTGTGAGGGTGGTGATGCACTGGCACAGGTTGCCCAGAGCAGCTGTGGCTGCTCCATCCCTGGGAGTGTTCCAGGCCAGGCTGGATGGGGCTTGGAGCAACCTGGGCTGGTGGAAGGTGTCCCTGCCCATGTCCTTTTCCCTCTCTCTTGGCATCTCTCAGAGTTTGAGTGCAGCTCTTGGAGTCTCACACAGTGGCATCAAGACTCCAAACTTGCATTTAACCCTTTGACTCTCAATTTGAGCATTTCTCCACCTCCCGTGTCAGGTATCCTGGTCTGGTAGGTGTTTCCAGTGTGCACCTGTGGGACTGTGAGGGCCCAAGAATTCCTTCCTTGTCTGAGAGATCACAGTTCAGATCCTTTCCCACCTCTTTTGGAGCAGGGATCCACATCCAGGGCTTTCTTCCTCCAGCCCTGCCTAACAGGCTGTAGATATTCAGGGCAGGTCAGTGTCTCTTGTGTTGAAATTGTCCTGGTTTATATCAAGTACTCCTTGGAAAACCCCTGGAGACAGGGAATTCTGGCTGCTTAGTGTCTAGTAACCTCCTGTTTCTCAACCTGTGATTCAGCTCATGATGAGTGGGAAAGGAGAGGGAAAGGTGTTATCCATATAACTCAACAATCAGGTGCTCCCAAAGGTAGTTGTACCTGGAATCCTCCTAAAGGAGATGAGATTCCAAGTGAGTTGTATGTGCTTAGAAGGACTTGGCAAATCAGGAAAGGACATTATTGCAGGGATAATGGAAGCACACCAGGACTTGCTTTTCTCAAAGTGGCATTAAATACCTGTTGTGGATTATTGCTGCTAATTAACCAGGAGGGGTTAATTGGAGGGGTTGAGAGGCCAAGAGTGCTGGTTAGAGCTGGAAGGAGAACACTTTGGGAACAAAGGTTGGTTGTGAGGGAAGGCTGGCAGTGTCCTGTCCTCTGGGAGGTCCCTGCTGGGCTGCTGGAGTCACTTGTTTTTGCTGTGCAACTCCAACAGATGTTTTAGGCTAAATCTTCAAGGCTTGTTGGGAATGGAATTCCTGGTTTAATGCCTCCAAAATGCAGCATCAGAGAATCCCAGAATGACTTGGGTTGGAAGGATTTTAAGACCACCCAGTGCCAACCCCCTGCCCTGGGCAGGGACACCTCCCACCAGAGCAGGTTGCTCAAGGCTTTAGCCAACCTGGCTGTGAACACTGCCAGGGCTGGGGCAGCCACAGCCTCCCTGGGCAGCCTGGGACAGTGTCTCACCAGCCTCACAGGGAAAACTTCTGCCTGAGATCTACCCTAATTTTTCCCTCCTTCAGTATGAACCTGTTACTCCTTGTCCTGTCCCTGCAGCTCCTAACCAAGAGTCCCTCTGCAGCTTCCCTGCAGCCCCTTCAGCTCCTGGCAAGTGCTCTGAGGTCTCCACACAACAGCCCAAACTTCCTCAGTCTGTTTTTGTGCAACAAACTGTGATGTTCCTCCAACTCACTTTGGAGATGGAGAAACTGTGATGTTCCTCCAAGTCCCTTTAAGGCACAACTCCCTGTTTTGGGGGTTAATTCCTTCTTTCTTCCCATAAATTGGGCTGTAGAGTGACGAGCACAGTAGGAGAACCATGTGGCTAAACCCTCTGTCCTCTCCCCCAGGTACGACCACATCCTGAAGTGGGAGCTGTTCCAGCTGGCAGACCTGGACACGTACCAGGGGATGCTGAAGCTGCTGTTCATGAAGGAGCTGGAGAGGATTGTGAAGCTGTACGAGGCCTACAGGCAGGCTCTGCTCTCCGAGCTGGAGCACCGCAAGCAGCGGCTGCAGCGCTACGCACAGCAGCACGGCAAGAACTTCTGAGCTGGCACCTCTCCGGACAAACAGACTCTTTTGGAGGACACTCAAGAGCTTTAAAAGGTTTTTCAACTTCCAAACTCTGACAAAGTGCTTTTGTTGAGAAGGCAGCTTATTTTTGTTGACGTTGCACCTTTGTTGTTACCCTCTTGGATATTTTTCTACATGTATTATGTTTTGTTTATAATAATGAGATTATTTGTTAATCCTTTTGTTTCCATGCAAGGAGTAGTTTGTTATCCTGAAAAACCAGTGTGTGGAGTTTGATTCCAGACCCCTGATCCTGGTCTCTTTCCTTGCAGTCAGCTGCAGTATTAAAAGCTGACTCTGTATTTTTTTAGATGCAACTGTCATGTCCTTGGCTTCCAAACAGTGTCCAAATCCAAACGGTTAGTTCAAGGGGATTTCCCTGAGGATTTGGGATCCCTCTCCTGAGAGCTCTGCTCTTTGTTTACAGCTTTAATGTACAGAAAACACTGATGTGTTCCTGGTCAGGAGCACCCAGGAGCTGACTCCCCTGCTGGAACTGAAGCCCGAGTTGCCTTATTTTTTACTTTAACTCATTACTACTTCAGATTTACTACTAGTTTTCACAGCAATTAGTCAGAGGGAGAACACTTGGACCCTCCTAAAGACCAAGATCTCTAAGCAGAGTGCTTTAAAGCCTAGGAAATCTGCATTTCACAAGACCCGCTCTGGTGGACCGGCTGTGCCTCCCCCGGGGAGAATCAGGGATGTAACAGCAATTAACTGTTTTATAATGAGCTTTTTGTCTTCTGTTCAAGCTCCTCACTTGGGGGAAGATTTTTAATTGTACAGTTACCCTCTCCAGTCTTTCCATTTGGTTCATTAACTGTCCTGAAATGTTATTTATGGATTCTTTTCAGTGCAATAAACATTGCAGACAAAAAAATAGTACATTTCTTGTAAATCCTATTAATTCAATAAAAATCATTTTGGTCCATGAGTAAAGCATTTTCTGAGTGAGTTTTTGGGTGGTTTAGTACATCAAGTAAAGGGTTCTTAGAAGCAGTAAAAGCCACTTGGGGTTGGGATGGTCTGAGCTGAGTGAGGGGATGAGTGATGGGCTGAGTGTGCTGCACCCTGGGTCTGTCAGAGGGTAAAGTCCCCTTAAAACACCAACTCTGATGTCCCAAATGAAACCAAACCTGTTAAAGCCCCAAAGGAAAAACCTCTTGCCTTGTTAGTCAATAATAATTCCCTGCAAAACCAACTCCTTAGGAACCAAAAGCAAACTTTAATAGTCCTGACAATAAAAGAATAGAACTGTACCACGTGTCCTATGCACTAACATGGATAAATATGTACAGAAATACAGTGAAACTTCCTCCAACACAGCTACAAAGTGACACCTTGTGCAGACAAAACAGGCACGGCCTCGTTCCTCACAGCATCGTTACACACCACAGCAAAGTGCCCTGACAGTGTCTCATAAAGCAAGTTAATACACCTTTAATTATGTTTATGTAATTAAACAGTTAATCCAAGGAGAAAAGAAAATGTGGTTACATGTTATAACTCCTTCAAGTACCTGAAATAATTGGCTTTTGGAGAAGCTTTCAGCCTTTTTAGTTGCAGTGTCATGGAAATGATCATTTCCTCAGTGATAACTAATTAAGAAGGGGGAAATAAGGCTCCATGACTGAGCTGGGAATCGCTGGGTAGGACAACTCAAAGCACGTGTGGCTGCAGCAGTGCCAGGATGTACGTACGGACAGGACAGATCCATGCTGGCACCTTCCCGGCGCGCTCCGCCCCTGCTCCCGGCAGGATGAGGTGTGGGGCCAGGAGGAGAGGGCTGTGCCTCCATCATGCATCCACGGGAAGGGGTTACACCTTCTTCCTCTCGGAGCCGTCGGCAGGTTCGGCTCTCTGGGCCGGGAAGGCCTGGTGGTACAGGTGCCGGTGCGTGGCGGCCGCGCTGTACAGCTTGTACAAGGCCTGGGGAGAGACACACGGGTCACTTGTGTCCCCACAGGCTGGCAAAAACTCTGAGATCATTGAGTCCAAGGTATGACCTAACCCCACCATGTCAACCAGACCATGGCACCAAGTGCCACGTCCAGTCTCTCCTTAAACCCCTCCAGGGATGGTGACTCCACCACCTCCCTGGGTAGCACATTCCAGTGTCTAATCACCCTTTCTGGGAAGAAAATTCTAACCTAAACCTCCCCTGGTGCATCTTGAGGCCACATCCTCTCCTCCTTTCACTGGCTGTCTGGGAGAAAAGACTGATCCCACCTGGCTACAACTTCCTGTCAGGGAGCGGGAGAGTGGTAAGGTCATGCCTGAGCCTCCTCTTTTCCAGGCTAAACACCACCAGTTCCCTCAGCCTCTCCTCACAGGCCTGGTGTTCCAGACCCTTCAGTCAACCCTGCCCATGTTCCCAAGCTCATGCCACAGCAGCCAGGCCCAGCCCACCACATTCTGTGTGTTCTCTACACCAGTTTGACTCTGACAGTGTGCAACACACAGAGATCTCCAGCTCGCTGATTCAGGACCCAAGGGAACAGATGGAGCTGTATCAGGGGAGTTTAGGCTGGATATCAGGAACAGGTTCTTCCCCCAGAGGGTGTTTGGGCACTGGAACAGCTCCCCAGGGCAGTGGTCACAGCCCCAAGGCTGACAGAGCTCAGGGAGTGTTTGGCCAATGCTCTCAGGCACAGGGTACATTGTTGGGGTGTCCTGGCCAGGGTAGGAGTTGGATTCTGATCCTTGTGGGTCACTTCCAGCTCAGGATACTTTGTGATTCTACAAATCTAATTTTTCAAACATCTCACCCCCTCTGGGCTGAATTAAATCAGTAATTTGGAGTACTAGTGAGGCACTTCCAGGGGTTGTTTTTCCCTAGGCATTTCACACACAGGAGGTTCAATTCCTGCAGCCTCAGCATTTGCTTTACCCCACCAGGCAGACCTGAACGCCATCACACTGAGGGCTCTGGGGTGTGACAGGTCATTGTCCTGATCCTTTTTCTGCTGGTGATGCAGATTTTATTTTTTTTCTTCCTTCTGATGTTACCATTTCCCATTTGCACTGGAGTGACGCCAGACCAGAGGACACAGAGTGGCTGTGGTGCTGCACCAGAGCAGTCACAGGTTCATTGCCCACACACAACTGATGTGACAGGACTGAAATAAGGCTCTGAGCCCCAGGAGGGTGACAGGAGAGTAAACCTCTGTCCCCCACCCTGGGGTGGTCTGTATCCCAGAGCACATGGCACAGGAGATGCCAAGACTGGGCCTGGCTGCAGAGGACTTGGTGTGAAAGGCAATCATACCTCTAAGATTCTCATGTCAAATGAACTTGGCACTGGGGAGGAAAAACACCCAACCAAAAACCTACCAGCTCCTGCTGGGAAGCTCTAGTGAGCCAGGATTAGCTCTGGAAGGGGTGGGAAGAGGCACAAGACCAGCAGGAACCTGCACATGTTCCTCGTGCTCAGGGTGTGAGTGAAGCAGGAGCTGCAGCGAGGAGGAGGTTGAGGGGATAACTCCTGGGGTGTCCAGGGTGATGCTGAGCACATCCCAAATGGGCTGTAGGGAGCAGAGGTATTCTGGGATTGCTTGGGAACACAGTGGACTGATGGAGGAGACTTCACACAGTGTTTCTTTACTGAAAATTCACCTCCAAACCATAAGTGACCTTGCAGCATTTTGGGCTATTTTTGGCTTCTCTTTGATGCCAAACCAGCCTCACAGTGCAGATTTTAACTTGACAGGGTTTGTTCAAGAGCTCATCGACAGCAAAGTCTGTTCTGCCTCTTGCTGGTGCTGGTATCAGTGGGGCACCAAAAAGGCTGCCCTGGCTGTGGGGGAAGGAATGGGTTCATTTTTACCTGTTTTTGGTTTTTAAAGGCATTTTGGGCCTGTTGGAGCCGCTCCAGCTTTCTTTGAGAGGAATTCTCCACATAGCTCAGTGGCTCGGCAGTGTGTTGGCACTGCCAGGAGGAGGTGGCAGGCTCTGGTGACACGATGAAGGATGGAGCTGTCCTCTGTCACACGCTGCACTAATGTGTGTGTGCAGCACTGCTGGGGAGTGAGGAGTCTGTCCTGGGTCCATCTGACCCACACATGGCTGTGCCCAAACACAGGGCCAGCGGCCCTGGGTGCCAGTCGCACAGGGAGCTTGGCACTGCGATCCTGTGGCACTGAGCAAGCAGAGCCACAAGGAGCCTGGGATAGGAGGGGCTGCTGTGGCTCTGCTCATGGAATCATGGAATGGTTTGGTTTGCAAGGACCTTAAAGAACATCTCATCCCACCCCCTGCCATGGGCAGAGACACCTTCCACCAGCCCAGGTTGCTCCAAACCCCATCCAACCTGGCCTGGAACACTCCCAGGGATGGGGCAGTCACTGCTTCTCTGGGCAACCTGTGCCAGTGCCTCAGCACCCTCACAGGGAGGAATTCCTTCCCAATATCCCATCTAGCCCTGCCCTCTGGTCTGTCGGTGTGAAGCCATTTCCCCTTGTCCTGTTGTTCCAGGACCTTGTCGAGAGTCCCTCTCCAACTCTCTTAGAGCCCATTGAGGCACTGGAAGAGGCTCTGAGGTCTGCCTTCTCTTCTCCAGACTGAGCACCCTCAGCTCTCCCAGCCTGGCTCCATAGCAGAGGTGCTCCAGGCATGGAGGCTCCTGTACTGCTGGTGCTACAGAACAAACTGCTGTTTGGGTGTGACCTCTCAGCACAACAGGAAAATCCCCAAACAAAACTGATGGGATGAAAATCCCCATCCTAACATCACTCTCCCTGCCCGTATCTCTCCCCCACTTGGCTCCCAGCACTGCCTGGAACACAGGCATCTAACCATTCCCCAGGCATCTGGAACTGCCTGGAACACAGACATCTAACCATTCCCCAGGCATCTGGATCACAGGAACACCCAGAGCCAGCCAGGACACAGTTACTGCCCAGAGCCCTCGTGACCCCCAACCCCTCCACAATCCCAATGGCAGCACCATAGCCCAAACATGCATCTGCATCCCA